AAAATGTATTTCCAAAGTGATACACTTAAGCTTCTAATCTGGGCTAGTCTTTCAAGTCTGGGAATTTAAGCACAAGATGCAAGAAGACCTAACATGAACTATTATACTGTAGCTTATTTAGACAATTAAGTATATTCTCAAAGAAGTATTACATTTCACTAGAGAAAATGTGCTAAATTACACCTCACTGATCTCTAAATAGACCAAGAGCCATTGGAAAAAGAGGTTGGACATGGCATTTCATGCTTTGGACAGTCCTTTCTCTTTCTTCCCTCCAAATTTCCCTGCACACAAACTTGGCAATAGCCTTTGGGAGGCAGTCTGCAGGTTACATCAACTCTCTGCCTAGTGCCTTCAGACTGAAGATTCTACAGCCTTGGGATTTTTTTTTTTTGTTTGTTTGTTTCTAAAGAAAAGGATTCCTTTTTTGAGGCCCTACAGACTGTTCTATCCCAAAAAACAATGAACTAAAGTAATTGTTAAGCAGGAAATATTTTAACAAAACACCAGAGCTAAGGAAGAGGTAGCCGATGTGGAAGTTTCCTTTAACTGACGCTGATCATCAGAACCAAAGCTTGTCCCTCAGGATGACCTCATCTTCTCACTACTGTACTATAGCTCGTAGAATCAAATTACTTGAAGCATCATGTTATTACTTTTCCAGACCCTGGACTTAGCTCTGAACCCCATCAGAAGCGCTACATGGGTGTGAGAGTGAAGATGCCAGTACGGGAACTACTGAGAAAGATAAGGCTTTCCAAAGGCCTGGATCCAGGTCACAGCAAGGTGAGGACTCTTCTAGAGTTTGGAAAGGTGAGAGGTGCAGAGATGCAGCCCTCTGATGCATGCACATCACACTCCCACTCTGCAGGTGCTCTTGAAAGTTTATCCAATTGCTGCTGCCTCTTCTACAAACACTTCAATGCTTTTGATGGAGGTGGAGAATACACCAAGCTTTAAACAGACCATGACTGGTACTAGAAACAGTTTTTGAGAGCGCTACAGCAAGAACTCACCCATGCCCCGCATACCATTTTGAAGGATAAGCCCATACTATATATCCAAATGTATGTCAATACTAAACATCACACAATCAAGCCAAAGCCAGTCAGAGAACCAAGAGCAATTCTGCTGTAGCAACTGAGATTTCTGAACAACCTGCAAAACCAGCCGAAGAGGTTGGTAGACTCCCAGATACCTGGACTGCTGCAAGGGCTATGCCCCCATCCATCTGCAGTTGTTGTGAGTTACCTTGTCACACAGATTTATTGACTTGCAGCCACTGCTGTGCAAGGTACACACTGTGCTGGGTACACTGGTGCTTGATTGTGCAAAGTTCCAATTTACTTAACTCACATTACCCTATTTTCCAGTTTCACTTTCTCTTATGTGCACCTCAAATCTTTTTTTTTTTTTTTTTGGTCTCTTTAGGAAGCTACATTAACGAAGACAGCAGCTAAAGGATCATTAACGAAGACAGCAGCTAAAGGATCCTCAGGAAAAACAGGTTAAGAAACCCTTCTCTTAATAATGCGGTCTCCTTTTCTAACGGAACAGCACTCAAACACCCAAAGAGCCGGCCCGCTTTCCCCCTCCCCGTTATCAACCAACACCACCATGAACCAACACAAATTCCTAGCACCTCGGAAAATACATGAGCAGGGCATCATCACGATGGATGCATTACTCGGTATCTGGATAAACCAATGCTAAAACACTGAAAACTTTGGTATATTCTCCCCTCCTATAACTCAAGGTAGCTTCTCTTTCTCTCTTTCCAACAGAGAAGAGGAGAGTTCACCCTTATACAGAGAAACAGCTTAGACAGGTATGCATAATACCTTCAACTCAATGCTGCCAGCCTCCCCAGGCATATTTCATGTTTTATCACTGAGCAAGAACAGGACACTTCATGTCTGATTTTCCTCCCCCATCTTCCGCCCTCCCCCATTTTGTTGTTGCTGTTACAGAGCAAGCAGAGCATTGGGCAAACACCAAAAGGCTTAGAGGACCTTGATATCCTGGTGGAGGTACTACAGGAAGACTTGAACAAAAGCCAGTCAAAGCCGCCATCTCTGGGTTCTGCACCAGAGAGCTTTTGGCAGAGCTTCTCCACAGATCTGCAAGCCACTCAAAGGGAAACTGGAATAAACAAGCAGGCAGCTCGAGGTCTGCGGGAAAGATGCCACGGCTTGACCAAATGGCGCTCACACTGCCCTTTTAAAGATTGCAACCCTCTGTTAGAAACTCAGTTAGAAACTCCTTTTCATGGTCATAAAAACATGCAAGAACCAGACTCACCAGGACCCTTCTCAAGGGAAAGTGAGAAAGCAAGTTGCTGGTGGATGCAGGATGTTTGTACCAGTTCCCAGAAAGATTTCCTGAGGCTTTCTGCATGGACCACATCTCCCTGCTATAATTCATCAGAAGGCTGTCCAGAGGAGTTTCTGAAAGCTAATACAGGCTCTCCAGACTTTGAGGGACATCTGAAGTCATTCCCAATTTCTTTCAAACAGCAGGATCTCTCTGCCATCTCCTTCTTCCAGTTTCAGCTACACAGGGAAGAAAGCTTACTGAGAAATATCTCATTGGACAAACTGCTCGCACCTGATGAAAATGGCAATAGGTCTCCCATTTTTCTACTTAAATCATATGGCTTGCTTTTTTCCTGGGGTGTCACTCATTCTGAGGATTGGCTCCAACTTTTACTGCCAGTTTTGTGTACACTTGTAGCTAAGGCTTCTTTACTCCACAAGAAGTTGAAATCTGCTGCAGTACGCAATTTTAGCAGAATCAAAATCCTCTATTTAAAAAAAAAAAAGGAAAAAAGAAAAGACTTCTACTTGTTTCCTTGTTTGCAGTAGTATTGCTAAACCACAGGTGACATCAGAACAAATTTAGAACAATATTCAGGACTGAGTTGTATTTGTAAGGATTCAGAAGAAAATTAAATGAAGCAAAATAAATTGTTGCAAAAGGGTGGGGGGGAGAAAAAAAGATTTGCAGATGAGATTTGTTTTCCAGGCTGCAGCCACTCACGGGATAATTACTTTTATTATTAGTTGGTAAGAAAAACGGGTGGAAAGATTACACAAAGCATACATATGCTGCTAGCCTACAGAGGGTAGACTTCCAGAGAAGTGGGAGTGGCTGTTTCATTAGAAATGAATTGAAAGCAAAAGGCTTTACTGCTCCCATATTCCCTAGAATGGCACACTTAAAGAGTAAATACTTGTTCCTCAAAAAAGCAAAACCTTATGACATTTCCCACAGTTCAGGTCATCTGAAGAAGATATTAAATACAATTTGCAGAAAATGTAAACTAGTTAGAAGCTGTCCTCCTTTGCTTGCAAAGTGACTCCTTTCTGATCATACAATCCTGCTCCCCCTCTTCCATGAAGTGCCATGTTTCATTCATAATGATTATTCACAGCAAGATAATAGAAAGGACTTTGCTTTTCAACAATAACTTAAGAACTGCAACACAGTTGCAATAAGCCACCCACCACTTTTCTTCATTATTTCCCACAGATTTTTAAAGCAATAGCAAAGGAAAAAAACTTCACACATATACAGAATGTATTACAGGTTTTTTTTTTTTTTAAAAAAGCCTTCTACTATCATGCTTATACAGCATTCTTAAACTAAAATTTTTAGTTTGCTTAAATCCATGAGAAATTTACATCAGGACATGTGCAAAAATAAGCATTTGAAGGCAAGAGTAGACACCAAAAAGATACCAACTCTGAACTGTACTGAACCCTGAACAATATAAATTACTGTCTCAAAATCCCCCCCAAAAAACAAACAAAAAAAAGAACAGAGGCCAAACTGCAGCCTAGAGTTATTCAGAAATCATTGAGAGTACCATGCTACAGGACAAGGAAGTAAGCGGCTGCGCTAAATGTTTCCTCCAGTAAGAAAGGTAAACGTCCAATTTTTCCGGAACACAAGTCTTTTCAAGACGAAACTCTGGAGAAGAACACGAGCTGTTTTGAGCAATTCAGTGAGACAAACGACACAGAAGGACTAAGTTGCCCTCATGCACAGGTCTGAATTACTGCTTGGTAACCCTGCTTTTCTCTCAAGTGGGAAAGAAGGCATTCCCTTTCCATGGCTTTTAGGCATTTCACAGTCCTTTCTGCTTGCACTGAGAGGGGCTCACAAACTGAGGAGGAAATAGTTAGATACTGACGCTGAAGCGAAAGAGGAATCACGCAGTAGCGTCTGAAGCGGAGTAAAGGAACAGGACAGCAGCAAGAAGTGAGAAGCAAAAAGCCCTAGTATGCACAGCAAATTTAAACAAAAGCCACAAAATTAGGGATTCCCTTATTAATACAAGATAGATAAATACATTAGATGATGAAACAACTCAAACTTTTGACATTTGCACCCTCAGTATTTCATGATTTGAAATATGTTCTGCTGCTTTTGACTAAACAAAGTATTGCTTTAACTTCTAATTGTTTAAAATGGGATTTATTCCAGGCTGCTGCACAAGGCCGTTTCTCAGGGAAGAAGAGCTCTGACTTACGTACTTGCACGGAGATTTGCATCCCTAAATAAAATCGATGAGAAGGACGCAGAGAAACGGGTAGGATGCTGATTTGGAAAGAATATGACCTTTGTTAAAAAATAAAATAAAGCATATCAAATATCTTTCAAACCTGATTACAAACCAAGTACCAAGCACCCTTTTAAGCAAGGTGTTGCCTCTCGCTGCTGTGAAGAAGCAAGAGCAGATACAGAAAGGAAATGACTTCCAAACAGCAACTACTAGCAGGATTAGCAGGGAGTAGAACACAAAGACCCAACTCTTCCTCTCTTACAAGGAGTGCTACTTTAAAAGCATTTTCACCTCTTTTAGTGATTTTTTTTACCCTTTTTTTTCTACTTAGACTGCATTACATCTTGCTGCAGAAAAGAACCAACACTTGATGGTCAGTGACCTGATTTCTCTGGGAGCCAATGTCAATGAACAGGACAGCTTAGGGAAAACTCCTCTTCATCTCTGTGCAGAGAACGGATATTTGAGAGTTCTACAAGTAAGTTGGTCATTTATGTATTACAGCCACATGTGCAAATGCAGAGTTTAAGAGTCAAATACAAGTTCTTTCTTTCAGAGCAGACAGGGTAAGTAGCTTTGATATGGTATTTGTTCAAGTGAGATGGGGGATTGCATGTTAGCAGTCCCCAAACTATGATTTATCATCTCAACTTTTTCTTGATTTTAGGTTTTGAAAAACTTCAAAGAAAATGGCATGGGTGTAGAAGTGAACCTAACTGATCATTATGGTAAGAGAAAAGGCTTAACTACTGAAGTTTTGGGTAGATCCCTAAAGTTTTAGACCCCAGTTTGTATCTAGACCAAAGAATATTTGATTTTACATTTAAAGATAAAGGTTTAGCATGAGAGTCAAGCAATCTTACTGCATACTCTTGTGATTAGCTATGCATGGGGTGGTTTAAGTGGTTGGTTCAAGCAATAGATATGACTTTTCTGTGAACCTTTCTGTTCAGGTTTAACACCGCTACACTGTGCTGCACTCTCTCACACTGTCTTAGTAATGGAATCTCAGAAAACTGACACCAGTAGTGACATGGGAAGATTTCTCAAATTACGCAGAGATCAAGTTCTTGAGGGAATTAATTGCTTATTACAAATGGGAGGAAAACCTGAGCTGCAGGTGAGGATCAACAGCAGCCTGTTAATGGTGGTCTTATATTTTCTTCTTTGGTTGCAAATCCAGCTTTCCATTTTCTTTGTAGGTACTAAATTCCTGTCAAACTACCACTCCCCATTTAAAAATTCACGAGAATACTGAGCTAATGCACCTGATCCAGGCTCACAAACACAGGAGACAGAACATCCTTCAAGAGGTAACTCTGCCAATGAGGACTTTTACACCAGCTCCAGCACCCGAGAAAGCAAATACAGTAATATAAACCATACCATATAAACCAAAGTGCAATACAGGGCTAAAAGATGGATTCTAGAGTCTTATTTTTTAAACGTGTTAAATGAAACTTCCCATCTGTGTATGTGTACAGAAGCAGAGCAAGAAAAAAGAGTTTTAGTCAGGGGTAGGCAAATTTTTAAAATACACATTTTAGTAATTAATTATTATTATTTTTAAAAACATTAATGCTCTATAGGAAATAAAATAGAGTGTAATCCATTAAAATAATCTCAAAATAGATTAATGCTAAATTGAACTAACTGTAAACAATGTCATTTTCTTCCATCTTATATTAAGGGGCAGAACCTAGGCTTCACAAGTCAAAACCAGTATGTGTTCTTGATGCAAAGTCTGCTTCATCGAAATAGCTCAAAATTTACTGTTCTGGATTCTTCATTTCTACAGGGTTGTGGTTTGCTAGATGCCCTAAGAAGAATGCCTTACGTCTCACCACCAGATAACATTTCTGAGCTTTTTCCATTTTCATCTTCAGACTTCCTTGACATCATTCTCAAAGGTATTTCATAATAGGAAAATGATTTTATCTACTCAGGATCTTTAACTTCACAGCTGGAATGTCATAGCTCCCTCCAGTACATAACTGGCACTGTTCTAGAATCATAAATCATCATTTATACATGAATTGATGGAAAAGATGCTCAGTGACTTGTCATAGATCTTGGATTAAGTCCAGAGCTCTGTACAAAATTTTGCTTGCAAAAAAAATCTTTTGCTTGCAAAACTCCTTGCTCATCCAAAAATCAAGTATAAAATAGTTAGCAGCAGAAAAAAAAGTTTAACATATAGATTGAACTGAATATTTGTTGGTTTATTGCCTTCCAGGGAAATACTGATAAGGCTCCTTATCCGAGTCTCATGGTCCATACACTGAAGCTGTTGATGAAAGACAGAGCAGACAGGAAACGTCTTTGAATGTATTATAGCTTGAACTGGCTGTCAAATATATTCCTCAGTATCCAGAAATAAAGAATAAAGAGGAAAGCTCTCCAAATAAAGGGAAAAAAACCAAGCCAGTTTCACCAGTATTAGGCATTCAGTGTTAGATGTGCCAATAATTCTTTTCCTATAGAGCTGAGCGCTTAGACTTCTCTTTTGAAGTCCATTTGTGTCATAGAAGTTCTACATTCTTAGGCTCTGACAGTTTTTTATGCAGGTATATAGTTCAAGGAAGCAAATAGAACAAACCCCAATTTTCACCCTCCAGAGTTTAGTTTTCAAAGCACCAGAATAAGATTATGCTCCGCAGTCTGAGCTTCAGATACGCTGAAAACCTCCAACAACATATAAACTTGAATACGTGCTACAGGCAGTCAGAGTCTGACTGGCTGAATTTAATACTTTTTGCAGTCTAGCTTTGAATTTCTCCAAGGCTGGCATTATCACCCTTTAAGGCATTCCCTTCCTCTCTCCCATCTCCCACCCCAAAAAAACACCACCACCAAAAAAGCCCCGCCACAACGCACACACAAAAAAATCTCATAACTAAGATTCCCCCTCTAACAAAAGTCAGGGTCTTTGGTTATGCAATCAGAATATGCCATCTGTAATGGATTGTTGGTGTAGTCTGGGATAAAAAGCTAGTGTTTTGGATTAGGTCCTTCATTTTAGATGATCTTTCGGAGGACTGATCATCTATATAAATAGAGGATAAATTAAAAATGTAAATATATAACACTGCACAGTGTTGTTTTTACTACTAAGGAATTTTGAAGTCAGAAGAATAGGAAGTGACTTAAATAATCCTCGATTATTGGATATGTAAGAATTCTTTCTAGAATTTCTATAAATGAAATTATTATTTCCCCCTCAAAATTAATTCATATTTTCCAGACTTTGAGTCATTTCATTTTAACTTCTGGTTGTCAATTAGCTGGTTTCTATGAAACTTCCCCGTTTGCTACATACGGAGCAATCTAGATTTATATAAACCTATAAAATGATTCATCAAGCAATCAGCTCACATATGTACCTCCTATTAAGTGGGAGGTTTTTTATGTGGAACCATTGCAGGATCAAGTGTCAAATACTCATATTTGGAGGATATTTTTATATGATTCCTCTGCATTTTCTTGTGAAAAATCTCTTCTCGTTGGATATTCTTAAGAGTTAAGCTCCAAGAGCTAAATTATACAACAGGATTCAAGTTTTACTGCAATTTAGCGTTTAAGTTAAACTCCAGGGCGCTTTGGGTTGTATCCTTTGTTTCTTAAGGCCTGAAGAGCAAAAATCTGTGCTGCATCTTTATACATTCATCCCCTTTAATCTGCATGAGCATTAAGTACTCCAACCAAAAATGGATTTCAAATAATTTTGTGTTGTTATTTGCATAACATATTGCATAACATAATGCATTATTCATTCCCCTCCTTCTATAGACATCCTCAGTGTTTTTAATCACATGGGTTTTTGCTTTTCTTTTTCATCCCAAATCTTACTTGGCAATAAAAATATTTTGCTGTTCATGTTTTTCTGTTGCGTGCACACACATCCCCCACACATTCTTTCCTGATTGTGCATTTTAATTCCTGTCTGAGTTCACAGCCCTTCTCGTTCATTTGGAGAGAATTAATTTGGATCTTGTAGGTTACTGAGCTTCCATTCAGGAGATTTAAAGACCAGTCCCAAGATCCACTGAAATTAAAGGCTGCTTATTTTCATTGGATATTGGGGAAGAAATTCTGCAACAGATGCAAAACCAAGAACGAGTTGAAATGGTGACCAAATTTAGAGTCATGTTAATAAGCACTTCTAATGAAGAGAAATGGATTTGTCTCGAGAATATCACAGAAATAACTGTAGAAAACTGTTGTATAAAAATAAATGATAAATATTGTAATCACATGGATGCTGTACAGGTAAAAAGAGGACTAACATTAGACTATTAGTGTGTATCATTTATTCAATATACTTAAAATGGAATTTGCCTGTAAAATATACATTTAAAAACTTTATATATCAATTGCATTAAGATTAGCATATGTGCTTTACATGATTTTACTTGTTGCACCTTGTGAATAAATGGACTCAGTCTGGGGTGCAGAGTGAGATAACTATTTTCAAATCAAACTTTTTATACTTTCTTAACACAAGTGTTGCAAAGCTTACAACCAGTCAGCATCTTGCCACCTGTGTGGTTGTCCTGGCTTTGTTCCTTTTCTTCTGACAAGACACTCCTCACACGGGGCAAGGGGAGGTGTTCTGCAGTCCTACTTTTTCGGCTCTGTCCCCCATCTGCTGAGGAGGCTGACATCCTTGTGGTTAACTATCTGCTAACAAGGTACTATTGTCTTGGAAGGAGCCTCCACATTGACTGTTCCCTCTCATCAATAAACTTTCGATTTCATGCAATATTTTTAGGTAGAATCAATACACTATACTCAGAGAAGTGACTGTCAGTAAATGAGTAAATTAAGCAGTTTGTGTGTGTGTGCACGCATGCATGTGTGTTTGAGAAGTTAAAGCCACCTTATGCACTCCGTTTGAGGGGCAGGGAGGAAAACACACCGAAGAGATTTCAGAACTTGCTTAAAAATTTGAAGAACATAAGAACTTGATGAAAAGAAACGCACCTTTTCAGCTGGTCATTGCGCCTAACTGAAACAAGCTATTTTAAACCAAAAGAGAATAAAAGAGGGCTTTGAATAGGAATTATCCATCATAAAGAAAGCTTGCACTTTTTCAGCAAGATTCTTCTGATGGTTTTCCACCCTTTTTGTGAACAGAAGGCCCTTTCAGCATTAAGATAGGGGCTTTTTAGGTATTGCACTTATTCCACTCCTCGTGCCATCACTACTCAAGTGATACAACAGCTTTGCAGATAATTGCTCAAAACAGCCGCGTTGAAAACGAAATAATATCATATTCAAGTGAAAGTTCTGGGGGAATTAATTTAAGGGTGACAGGTGCTAAGAGATAAAGTAATTTGGCAAAGGCAGAACTGAAAATAACTCTACCTTACATGCACTGCACTAAAGAGGCCTGATTAGATTGCGATGGTCAGATTAGAGCTTTTGCTTTCCATCTCATCATAAAGGGTAAACCTCCCGCGTCAAGACAGCTCCTTGAACCTAGCCCCACTGCTGATTCAGGACTATCTCAAAGGAAAGGACAGCTCTTCAGGGATCGCTAGCATCCCTTCTTCTGGCCCCATATGCATGCTGTAAATCTGCCCTCAGATGTCTTTAGATAGTCTCAGGTCAAACCTGCTCAGTTAGCAGCGGTAATAGGACCTCAGCAGAATGTTTTACAACACTTTAGAAATAACTCAATGGATTTTCCCAGGCCTGTTCTTTAAACGGGTTTTGAAAACCATGCACGGAAATACTAGCCTATTTTTCTGCAAATAGTTGCATGTTCGTATAAAAACCTCTTTCATTTTACATGCAGAAACTGGCTTCCATGTTCAGCTCTGCTTCTGACAAGGCCTAAGGTCATTGCAATCCAAGGAGTGCCCTCTTAACCCGACGAGGCATCTGTGCCTTATTGACACGGGCTTCAAAAATGCCCATGGCACAGGGAAAGCATTTACCTCTCTGCAGTTCCAGCCAGGGCAAGGCAGAGACACTGTCTCCAGGCCAGAGTTTAGCTGCCATAGAGCAGAGAAAGACCTACTGGAAGGGCCACTGATCTTACCAGCTTCACTTGAACCTCACCAGCTGTGGGGCCGTTCAAGAGGAGCAGTCACAGCAGCACAACGTTCAAGGTGGGCATGACTGTGACATGCCTGGGACAGAGTGTGTGCTGCTGACTCCTAAGTACCATTCAGAGTGACCAGACTAGTATTTGCTGTGCAAGTCCTCCAGCTAACTGATTCCAAGCCAACTCACGTGTGCTCCCACAAGCTATAGTCATGCCTTTGAACTAGAGCACAGGCCATACTTAAGAGAAGCTGCTTTGATTCTTCACCTCACTTCTCACCCTGTATTACAGAATGAATGTTGTTCAGTGGCTTACGTGGTTAGCTGGGTTCCCCATTACTTTGAAGTTAGATGAGCACTAGCATGCATAATTATTTTTAAATGTAGTGCAAGAGCTTTGCCACTGAATTACTAGCAGTTCAGCACAGGGAGATAAAAATAAGCAACCAAATCAGATTCAGGCCTCCCAGTAGTTCTCCCTTTATGAACAATCCCTGTTCATAGAAGTGAGTGAGTAACAGAGTAACTACAGTTTCTAATGGATATACAGAAACCCATTAAATTTTGGTGCACACACATGTATTTCCTCTAGCTTTCAGAAGTTATCAGCAACACAAGCACTTAGCACAGTTGGCAAACTTCTGTGAAAAGCAGAGAAGGCACAACCTTTGCCACCAAACTGTGCACATAAGAATAATTGCAGAGATGGTAAAAGGCAATACAAAGAATACAAACTAAAAGGTGAGGGAAGACATTTTATGGATGAACAACCAACTGCATGGCAGAAAAAGGCGGAAACCATTCTAGGTTTTAGGCACATTAAAATAGTAGGAACAACAGAAAAAGGGAGGCAGAGAGG